GGGCCCTCTTTAAGGGGTCTGCAGCAGCCTAGTGGAACAATCAGATGGTAACAAGACTAGCAAGGTTTGTGTGGAAAACCCCTGCATACACCTGTGTCCATGATAGCCACCTCCTCTCAGGATCTTCAGGGGAAAGACAGCCAGGTATCAACTGAGGCATGACATCCAAATCGCAAGTCCCGCTGAACATTGCATTGGTCAGGCCACACCTGGAGTACTGAGTGCAGTTCTGGAGGCCTCACTTCAAAAAGGATGTGGACGGAATGCAGTGGGTGCGGGGGACGGCAACGAGGAAGATCTGGGGCCTGGAGACCAAGCCCTATGAGGAAAGGCTGAGGGACTTGGGACTGTTCAGTCTGGAGGAGAGGAGGTTGAGGGGGGACCTGACTGCTCTCTTGAAGTATTTGAAGGGCTGTCACTTAGAGGAGGGCTGAGAGATGTTCCTGTTGGCAGCAGAGGATAGGACTCGCAGTAAATGGGTTTAAATGCTCTAGGCTAACACTGCATTGAGTAGGGGGTTGGACTAGACAGCCCCCTTCCAACTCTGTGATTCTGTGCTCCAGATCACCCCTCTCAAGCTTACCTGGCTACTGTTGTCACGGCGGAAGGATGTAGCGGGTCACACCCTTCTGGGGGGCCTGTGTCTGGAGTGGGTGGATCCTGTTGCACACTAGAGGCTGCCGCAGAGGAAACAACGGGGAAAACAAGAGCCAGAAAAATCAGAAATGCATATGCGCATGGGACAAACTTTCACGAGTATGTGTGCAGGAGCCTCTGGAGGTGCCACACAGAGTGATACGGCCTCTGGAGTCTTTTGCTTGGGGAGACTCTGCCGTCTAAGCTGAGCTTTTTCACCTGCTCAGCCCCACCTCCTGGCCTTCCGATGCCTTTAAAAGAAGTGGCTACCTGGAGGTTCTGCTTTTCCCTGGGGAGATTTAGTTCACAGTTAATTATCTGATGTATCAAAGTAGGATTTTATATACATTGTAACAGGATTTCAAGAGTGGTCAGTCCTCATGAGACCCCTTGGGTGAGGGGTGACTAAGAAGCTAATAAATAAAAATTAAGAAGTTGAAGCCCCACCCAGAGGAGATCACTTCTGCAGAGCTGCTATCTGAGCCTTCAAGCAGCAACAGCCGGGCGATTTTCAGGCTTCTCTTCCCCGTTCATATGGACAAACAAAACAATGCAGAGTGTAGAAGTCCAGGAGACTTGGGACTTCAAGGAAACTGACAGGATCAGGAAACAAATTCCTACCCAATCAAGGATACGAAAATCCCTCGCAACTCTCAGGGAATTCAGAATAGAATGATCATCAGGAAAAATACCTTCAAAAATAAGAACCAGAAGAGTACAACGGCAGGCATGACTCTGGGCTTGGATGTGGACAACCAGGAATTCAAATCCCTGCTCAAGTGACGAAGTTCCTGGACTGACCTGGGGGCCAATCTTCATCGGTCTGTCTAGCCTACCTCACAGTGATGTTGAGAAGGGGGGGCGGCAAGAGAAGCAGGTCCTCCATGAGTTTCTTAGAGGGAAGGTGCGGGGGGGGGGACCTACTAAGTTCAGGAAAGTATCATTCTGAATTTCTCAAAAGAAAGGTTAGATCAAAATAACTTTCTTTAGAAATTGGGCCACGTTCCTAGAAAAGACACCACAGACCACACAAGGCATTTCTCCGCTTTCTCTCTGCAAGCAAAAGGGTAGTCAATGGCTTCTTCTTCTTTTGAATGGAGCACAGAAACCATTACTCCCTATCACTTCCTCTGTAAAAATGGGTGAATTCATTCTAAGGATTCCACCTCCATCTCCTTAAAACGAGCGGCACAGGAGAATTCTCATGTTGCCAGAAATCTGTCCTGTCCAATGGGAAGAGAGAACACAAGGAGAAACACACAGCTGCCCGGGTCACTTTCCTGTCCACTCCCCTATTGCTGGTGGATAACTTGTCCCATGTTCCCCCCTCCCAAGCTCCCCACCTCTTGGAACCAGACCTCTACCTGGTCTAGCACCCGCTGGGTATGAAACGATCCCTGCAGTCACCAGCATTTTAAAAATTATTACAACTTTAGGGAAATGAGGGAGGGAGCAAAGAAAACTAACGGCTGATTCTAGATGTGGTCACACTACTTTTGGAAAAGTGTAATGTTACTCACCTTCGGTGGGGGATACATTGCTTTGCGTCACTTCCTGAGGGAGGCTGGCAGGGGAAGCAGGACCTGTGGGTGCTTTGGAGGGACTGGAGAGCAAAGGGGGGAAAATCACTAAGGGGAGGGGAAAAGGAAACCAGTGTAGCAAAGCTCCTTCCCGGCTACCCCAGTATCAGCACCAAAGGCCCACCTGACTCGCTTCTCATCTGGATTCCCGAGACAGAAGTATTCCAGAGCCTCACCTTTCTTGCTGCTGCGTGCGGGGTTCTGTGAAGGAGGCCCAGTTCTCATCTGTGGTGGAGCAGGAGGAATCCGAATTTGGCCTGTCCCACACTGCTGCTCCTGTGTCAGCAGCCACAGGTTGGGGAGGCGCAGTTGAGGTACTGTCTGCCCAGCCAGGATCTAGGGAAGAACAGGTTGGCACAGGGGGTCAGGTCTAACCTGTGACATGGCCGACAAACACAGAGACCCCTCATGGCAGGAAGAAAAGTCACTCTAGCTGCTGTTCTGCAGGTCTGGGAGTTTAACGGCAAAAGTCAGGAAAGCAGCACCACAGGAAGGAAACTGGTCTCTCTAGGCCCATCTTTTCGATTTGTTGTTGTTGTTCAATCGCACAGTCGAGTCCGACTCTTTGCAACCCCATGGACCAGATCACGCCAGGCCTTCCTGTTTTCCGCCGTCCTCTGAAGTTTGCTCAATTTCATGTTCATTGCATCTATGACACTGTCTAACCATCTCATCCTTTGCCGTCCCCATCTTCTTTGACCTTCAATCTTTCCCAGCATCAGAGTCTTCTCCAGGGAGTATTTGAGCTTCAGTTTCAGTATCTGGCCTTCCAGGGAACAGTCAGGGTTGATTTCTTTTAGGATTGACTGATTTGATCTTTTTGCAGTCCAAGGGACTCTCAAGAGTCTTCTCCAGCACCATAGTTCAAAAGAATCTATTCTTCGGCGCTCGGCCTTCCTTATAGTCCAACTCTTGCAGCCATACATGACTACTGGGAATATCAGTATCTTTTCGATACTGAGCATCAATGCTCCCTCTAAGCTGTGGAGTCTTGTGAGCAAAAATTTTACTTTGTTAGCTACTAGCAATCGTGAGCAAGCGATTTGGCTACTGCATAAATTAGTTTGCTCTCGCGCCATCCTTTCCTGAGCTAAGACAAAAAAATGTGTGAGCCAGAGGCTAAAAAACTGTGAGCTAGCTCACACTAACTCAGCTTAGAGGGAACACTGCTACCCATCATGATAGACTGTAACAGAAAAGATTCAAAGTTACTCAGTGGGCTAATGGCAGTGACTTGGTACCCTTGGGAGGGGAAAGATTTACATTTTTATGCCAAGGAAGCCAAGCGGCTGTGAGTTTTCCCCAAGACAGTCACCTGTGCTCAATCAACTGTGACGAATGCGGTAAGGCCAACATGGCTGAATGTGTGAGTGTTCCCCTACTTGTGGCTCTCTGACCGGGCTGCTTTGCAAGCAGGCTCATAACTTTCCTCCTCATTGCTCAACGACTCTCTTGGACACACAGAGAACTGCAATGGACTCCATTGCCCCTCTTCTGTAACACAAGTCTCCCCAAGCTAATAAGCAAGCGACCATCTGTATTTCTGCCATCTACCAATTCTCCCACGCCTTGAGCCCCCGTGGCCCTCTGACCTCCTGATGCTCGCTCCTCCTCCGTTTGTTCACTGCAGCCGTTGCTGATGTGAGTGGTGTCTCCGTCTCCCCCACCAGGATCTTCCTCTTCACCCTCTTCTTCAGAGTCTTCACTGTCCTCACTATCCGTGCTTCCAACCCCCCTGAAAAAGGGGGGGGGGGGGAGAGAGAAAGCACTGAAGGGGATGGAAATAGTTCTGATTGTGACCTGAACAAAAACCCAGTTCCAAAACCACTAGAGACAAAGATGCAGCTCTTTTCCCCCCACACACATGGGCTCTCCTGTAGAGGAGACAAAAACAACAACCCCCCACTCCAAACTCTTAATAGAATTCTAATTCCATTTCCAAGTCAGTCTCTCAATGTGATCCAAAAGAAACAAGATACCAAGTCCCAATCACTTTATTAGGACTGTCTGCAGTTTAAAAACGTGTTGCTCACTTTTTTCCAGTTCAGAACCTCAAAGAAGGGCAAGGAAAATAGTACAAAAGGTATACACCGTTGTTTAGATGAGGGCAACAGAGCTTAACAGGGACTTTGCCAGTGAACAGGAAGCAGTGAATATAACATGCCCAGGGACTGCAGAAAATGTCTGCGGTACCACTACATCAGTCACAGCATGTGCCATGAGTCTCATTTTGGCCCCAATATTCACTGTGTAAATTAAGCTCCCCAATCAGGCAACCCCTTTCAGGTTACCTCACAGGCAAGAGTGGGAACAGACCAGCAAATCACAAAGCCCCACAGAGCGGGACAGGGTTTCCCCAAGATCAATCAGCTGACTGGCTTAGTCTTATCTGAAGTGGGAAAAGAGCATCTATCCACATAAAGGGGTTTTATCACAGAAAAAAGTTATAAAACCCTGAAGTAACAGTGACATTTGTCTTTCCAAGAAGCAAGCAAGGGAACCAGAGGTCCTTTTGTAACAAGAGATTCCAGTCCTGCATCCTATTACAAAAGAATTTGTGCCTTTGCAAACAGTTTAGCAGCAGAGTTCTCCAGGATTTATCTATTAAAGGATGATTATCAAGCTTTAATAAATCTGATAATACAAATAAGGGGCGAGTTCTGTTCTTTGAACTATAACCAGCCAATCATGCCGAAAACCTGTAGAGACTTTTATCTTTTATTGCGAAAAGAAATTGTTCTCTTTACGATGCAAGACAGTAGGAAATGCAGGCATATAGACATTCATCCTACAATACAATTACTGTAAAAGTGCTAAAATTTATAACCAGCCAATCATGCCGAAAACCTGTGAAGACTTTTATCTTTTATTGGTAAAGTGCTAAAATTATCAAAGCTCGTAGCACTGTTTAATCATATTGCAGCAAGTAATAGTTTAAAAAGCAAACCAGGTTTCAGGTTTTTGTCTCACTGCTTTTCGGGATTATCATAAATCCCAAATTACACACCTGGAAATCTCACCTAGTCTTCTTCTGAGAATTCCATCCACAGAAATCCAATTTGCTTATCACCGTAGTGCATATTAACAGAAAAAACTTAAATCTGTTTATTATAATTCTGTGATTATTGTCTAGATAAGTAATTGGTTCTTAACTCAATATGAGATAATCAACACAAGTCCAAATGATCTAATCAGCAAGTGCATATGAGTTACATCTCTTATAACAAGATAAGAAGACCAATCTCAACTTTTAACCTCTATTAAAAATCAATTCATCTGACTTTTCTGTAACTGTTTCTATTCCAGATTAAAGTAGCTTTGAGCAAACAGAGTTCACCGACAGTTGAAAAGTGCTTGAACTCTCGGTTAGCTTGCAAACTCAGCAAGAAAAAGTTAGTGATATAAGAGCTGCTGCTACACTTTGCCAAATACGCCCGTATCAGGGCAACACAGTTCAGGATCTGTCAGCCGCTAAGCTACGGAGCCAATTCATTCAGGCTGTGTTAGTTTTTTGTCTGTTTTGCATTCTCCTGTGCCTGTCTTCATTTCTCCCCTACAAGTACCTGGATCCTCATTCCCTTCTTATTCTGTTTTCCCCAAGCGAAAATTAGAACTTGTTCAAGGCAGCCTCTGTCATCCCCAGACTGCTTGGGTGTAAAAAGGAGTGGCTTATGCACAGGCCCAGCTCTGAAGTGAGCCAGGCTATATATTTAACTGAATGTGTAGGTATATGCGATAGAGAAGCAGAAGCAGGGCTGTCAGACTCTGCCTCAGATCTCAAAGTGACAGACAGTGGTGGCTACCCAGTGAGTCTGTGTGAGCTACTGTTCCAGGGACATGCAACAGGCTACAGGGACATGGGGGAAGTAGGGCCCCCATTTCTGTTCCATCCCCCCCCCCTTCCTGAGAGGGGCCTGGACAGCATGTACATGGAAAGTGGAGGTTTAAGAGGTATAGCAGACATCAAAGCAAGGGCCCTGGATAATTCCCTTCACTCTTCTTTCTGCTTCCCCTTTCACCCAGGACACTCTTCCTCGTTCATTATGCATGATCTCGTTTTTGGAAACTTCGACTAATCTCTAATGGGGAGCCCCAAATGGACCTTGTGCAGAACTCCGCCCCTTACCTGGCAGCCGTGGGCTGTGCATTGCCAGAAGAGACAGCAGCTTCCTTTTCTTGCCAGATGTCTTCCCCGTCAGAACCATCAGCCTCTTCATCGTCATCAAACTGCTGGATCCGTTCCTTGTAGCAAATGTCGAAGAGGTTGGAGTTGGGCTGAAGAAGACAGGGGGGGGGGGCCGTCATAGCACAGGTCAAAGGAGGGGGGAGGGGAGAAAGCTGCTACAGAGGATCAGCACTTACACTGTCATCATCTGCATTCAAGGAGAAGGTGATGTTGGCCGTCTTGTCAAAGGGGGCACTGGAAAAGAGCAGAGAGCAAGACAGGTGGTTGGAAGTCATAACAGTGTGCTTCCTTGGGAAAGAAGCAAGACCTAGCTTAGAAAGAAGGGACTGAAGAGGGATCCCCACAGCCAGATAGGGTGGGGGAAATTCATCCTGCTCTTGGAAATCCCAGAAATACACACATACACTGTGCTGGATCCCATATGCACACTCTACCCTTTCCTGCTGCAAGCTGCTCCGTTCCTCAGAATCCTGCTCCTTGTGGGGAGCGGGGGGGGGGGGGGGGGGGGACAGATCAGCAGAAATTTGGCACCACTGTGGTGGATCTTATGGTCATGTTTCATGATCTCCAACCTCCCCGCAAAAGTTAAGTAGTGCGGAAGAGGTGGCTCAAACAGCAGTTTGCCTGGAGCCTCCTAGTGTCTTCATGGGAAAGAGAAAAACCCTGCAACATGTGGGCCGGTCTTCCCTACAGTGCCTCACCATCTTTCCTTCCCATCAACCAAGCCTTCCTTTCACACCAGCATTTTTATCATGGAGCAGCATCCCTGGCTCTAATGTGAAACACCCTTCCAGAAAGAATGGAAGCTCCAGTTCCCTTGCCTTCCGTTCTTAATGCTATTGGTGTCTCAGCTGAATATCTGAGAGGGACAGCTAAATATCACCTCCCCCAACCACCAGATCCAGCTTCCTTTTCCCCCTCCCTAATGTGCTTTTTCTAACTATACTGTGACTGCGGTCACACGGAACATTAGCCACGCTAGAGAGACGGAAGATAGGCGGATTTTCCGGGCGCGATCTCACCGCCACATACGGGAAGCGTAGAGCTCCCGTGGCTCACCCGAGGCTTCCCACCGAAGATGCGGGGTAAAAAACTAGTACCTCCGAGGTACTAGTTTCCGGTAACCGCGGGGCAAGGGCGGGCGTCTGATCGCGTTTCCGGTGGCATCCTGCGCCCGCCCATGTCCCCTCGCAAAAAGGGTTTCCCCCCCCCCAAGTCTCCATGGATGCGCACAAGCACCCAACGGAGCATGCACATACTTTGGTGTACAGGAAAAAAAAAACGTTTGCCGCACCGCGCCGCTTCTTTGCTGCGCCGCAGGATTGTCCTGTGATCGGCACCTCCCCCCTACCCACGGAACCTCCACGGGAGGTCGGATCGCGCAACCACACATTATTTTGCCCCGGGGCAAACAGCCACACCTCCCCCCCCCCCGGGCGATATCCGGCCCGTGTGACCGGGGCCTGTATAAGCCTATGGCCACTTTCATTTCTGAACAGCACCTCAGGGTATTAAGAGCTTTAATACCAACGAGTAGCCAGCAGACATCACAACAAAGAAAATGATCCTCATCAACTAATCAGTGGCTAAGATTATTGCACGGACCTGATCATTAGAACACAAGGTAGCCAGAATCAACGCACTGAAAGACACCATAATTAGCCTGGCAATCTTGCCTGTTCCTTGATCTGTGTCATACTGCTAAAACCCAGGTTATTTCTAAGGGTTGCTAACCACTCTTCAGTCAGAGGACGTAAGACCTTACAATTTCTAGCTTGATCTGCCTGGCCAACATATTCTTTTTGTGAGAAAGTTTAGAGACGGAGAGGACACAGGTGCTTCCAATGTCCCAGCCTGTGGCCAGAAAGGGGTATAGCAGTGGGTTAGGCATTACCTTTTCAGCTGTCGGAAGTGAGCACTTCAGGGCAGACAAGGAATGACAGAAAGAGAGAAAGAAAGAGAAAGAGAGGGTGACACATGAAATCTGGGGGGTTGGGGGAAGGAGAGAGGCTGCCCTCATGTAGGCAGTGGCAGGAAAGGGGGGTTATCAACAAGTCCCCCCAGGCTCCATCTCTTCCTATAGTTCGGAACGGTAGGATTCATGCTGAACCCACCCCAGCTAAAGAATTAGCCAAGAATGAGTGCCTGGGCAATCTTTGCCAAGACCATTAAATATATATAAAGTGTAACAAGGCTCAGAAAATGCACCAGTTTCCTCCCTGCCTAGTTGAGCTGAGCAAGGCAAGCGGAGAGGCCAGACATGCTGCGATGGAAGCTGGGTCCTCATGCCCCTCCCCACGAACCTAGTCATCCTACTTTCCAGAACACTGGCACGTCCCCCTAAAGGACCCCAGTTTTTGTCCCATCAGCCAAGAAGGGTCCTGGGTTGTGAAGCAGTAATAGAAATCTCTACCACCACCAGCACCATACAGTCTTATTCTTCCTGGGCCTTGCTGCTTTCTCAAAGAAAGCCAATCAGTTCTGGTTCCCAGATCCTTCCTCTCAACTCAGGGAGCCGGAAAGAGCATCTATATTCTCCTGCGGGCCATAGTTCCAAGGTGAGAGGCAACAGGAGGGCATCTCCAGCCCCTTCTCCCAGCTTGCATTGTGCATCCGTGTCCCTCCATTTGCAACTGCCTGATGCAAGTACTACATGCAAGAACATGCCGCCAGTTACATGCCCCTTAAAATCTGTGGAAGGTCAATGAATAGTCTACTCCTTCTGGACAAATCCATGACTAAGGTGCAGGAAGCTCAATGTTTAGATCAGGGGTCTCCACAGTGGGGCTCATGGGCACTATTATGCCCGCCAGCCCCTTTCCTGGTGCCTACCAAGTGCCTTTAGAAAGTGGCCAGGGCTAGGTGGCGCATATTCCCAGCAGGAGTTCTGATTGGCTGCACAGATTTAAAAGGCATCCTGTTAAGCAGAGCTTTTGCCTGAAACACTGAAGAGTTACTATCAGAGTGGTACATAACCTCAATCCTTGACATTTTGTGGTTGGCTCTGCCTACTATGGCAGCCAATTTATGACTGGCTCCACCTCCTGTGGCAACCATTTTGTATTTGTGTCCACTGCCCTTTTTCAGAATTCCAAAGGTGCCCACGGACTTTAAAAGATTGGGGACCCATGGTTTAGGTATACAATTTAGCAACCATGCTGAAATTAATCAGATCTGAGGCTGGTCAATGTCAAAAAGACAGACTTTCCATGCAACATCATTTGCACACTTGTCTTGAGTGCCACAACAGAAGAAAGGCAGGACCAGTGGTACGCACAACAGAAGAAAGGCAGGACTAAATAAGACCAGTGAAGAACAACTATCCCCTCAGTGTCCATTCAAACAGGTATGACTCCATACATGGGGTTACAAAAAACACAGCCACCAAGAGCCACCAAGGAGTTCTGGCTCCCAGCTCCTCATGAGCACATGCTCCCTCTTCTCAAAGTTCTCAGAAATCCCCCTCCCACGCTGTATCCACTGTTCTCAGAGGAGGCCATTTTTATTCTCAGCGACAAATGCATAGCAAGAGAAAAGGAACAAGAGGTACAAGCATGTTATTGGGGGAAGGTGCAAGAGGATAAAGAACATAGCACTAACTTGACGTTCTCTTCCTGTTCGCCAAACTCTTCATCATTAAAACCGAAGTGATCAATGAATGCCGAAGTCATCTGCTGCAGCTGGTAATCCACAAAGGCCTGGAAGGAAGAGAAACAGCTGGGTAACATTTTCAATTGAGATGCCACTGCTCTTGCAGGTGGAGCATCCTGGCAAAACAGAGGGGCAGAAGTTGATGATCCAGGCAGGTCCTCCTTCGGCTGGATGGGCCCTTTCCCCCCCCCCCCCAAATGGGAAAAAGTATTCCTAGTATCATTCCTAGTATCCAAATGCATCCAAGAGCTCTTGAGGGGATGCTGCGCAGCACCTTCCTGTAGATCCAGAAGACCAGTATTTCTCATCCAGTGCCTTCAAAGTGCATGCACTGGGAGGAGACACTGATGTGCATACCAGGAATCTAGAATGGGGATGCTGAAGATGGGTGCATAAGCATCACTAATCAGCTGCAGCAATGCAACTTCCTGCTGGTGAAGAGCCAGCTGTTTATCAGATCAAAGCCACCAAGAGAGCAGATCCCTAAATACAAGATCTGCTGTTGAACATTAAGAATCTTGAATTTCTATTACATAAAGTTCTCAGAGGTATGCTGCTGGGGGACGACGGGAGAAGAGAAAGATGAAGTCTAAGACCAGGGCTGCCTAAAGATCAAGGCTAAGTTAGAACAATGGTTTTGCCTCCCAGAACCAGGCAATGCATTTTGTGGGTATTAATAAAAAAGAAAAAAATATTGTGGTGCTCCGAACGGTCCCTAGGTTATGCAACGGCAGCTAAAAGACGGGGGAGGAGGTACACGAGCTCTCTCAAGGGGCTTATAGGGACCACTCAACTCACCTGCTGCAGCACAGCCTCCTGGGGGAAGCTGAACTCCTTGAGGTCATTCTCATCATCATCACTTGACGAGTGGAGGTTGTGCATGTTAACCTATAAGGAAAAGGGACAATAACTCTACTGGGGAGCTGGCAAAGACCGGCCTGGCCAAGATCAATGCTAATGGAATCTCTTGCTCCTTAGGGTCTGTTTTCCCCTCCAGGAAGCCAGAAACCTGCATCAGACCTATCAGACTCCTCCAATGGACCCACTGTGCTTCTGCTGCTGCCTCTTGGCAATCCTTTCCATCTCCATCACCATGCATGCATCTTTTGCCACTCCTCCCCCCCTTTGGTTACCCACACATGCCACTCTTGGCTGCCATGTTGCCATAGGCTACCACAAATGTGCAGCATCATAAAAAAAGGTGGTTAGGACCACATCCACAGCAGCCACAGACCACAACCATTAAGGAAGCAACAAGGTTGGGGCAACCTACGATTTAAGAACTTCCCCCACAAAATACAGCTATCTCAAAACTATCTCAGCAGGAGGCTGAGGGCATACAGGCCTGGTAGAGATACCAGCATGATGCAGAGTTCCCTTCAAAACACCAGCATTTTGGTTGACAGTGACTAACTGGAGAAAACACCCTTCGCTCAAGAGTCTGAGTCCCGGTATTTGCATTTAAAAAGGTCAGTACTTAAATATCCGGAATGTAACCACATTTCTGCAAAATGCACCGAAGGACGACCCTCTGTGGTTAGCCTGTTTTATGAAGGGACTGGGTGGAAATGCAATACAGACTAAGAGAGGCACTCACGAGATCCACAGTGTTCTTCTTGTTAGTCTCTGACAAGTGCCCCGAGACAAACTTCTCCCACTGCTCTTGTTCATCCTCTGGTAGCTCTGCAATGTAAAAAGGCAGCAGCTGAAAGCTCTTGCTCCACAGCGCATGAGATGGAGAGAGACACCCAGCTCTTGCTCCACAGCGCATGAGATGGAGGAGAGAGACACCCCTGTTTGTTCCGCAGAGAAAGGGAGTAACCGCACGAGGCTGCTGAGAACCAGGGAGCCCAGAAGAATCCCGGGTTCTAGTTTCCCTGTTGCAATCTATCCATTCCCTTTCCTACAAACAAAAGGGAGCTCGGCTTGAGCCAGGTTCAGAACTCCATGATCTTGCAAGTGGAATTATGCAACCTGTTAGGTTACTTGATGGCCCATCAAAGTCAGTATTGTCTACTCAGACTGGCAGCAGCTCTCCAGGGTTTCAGGCAGAGGTCTTCCCACATCACCTACTACCAGATCCTTTAACTGGAGATGCCAGGGACCGAACCTGGGACCTTCTGCATGCCAAGCAGATGCTCTACCGCTAAGCCACAGCCCCTCCCCAAAGACATGCAAACACTGCCTGGCCACGTGCAAGAGACAGGGCTTGTTCATTCCATTTCCACACAACCTTCATTGTATCCCTGGCTCTGCATATCTTGCCTTTCGCACTCCCTGAATTGAAACTCCCCCTCCAAAAAATTTAAAAAAATAAAGTAAAAATCTTTATTTCAATAAATGAACTTGGGTTCTAATGGCTGTGGAATTTAGACAATTCCTAGCACTACATTTTCCTCCCAAGCTCAGTTGTCTAAAGAGAAAGCTACCCACAACACTCTAGATAAAGGTTCACTGTATACCCCCCACCCCAGTATCAACTGCAGCCCAACACAGAAATGATGTTCATCATAAAAGGCAAGGAGCTGCAGTCTCAGGATGCTCCCACAGGCCAATGGTGTTAACATCAGAATATAAGAACATAAGAGACGCCAATGTTGGATCAGGCCAAAGGCCCATCCAGTCCAACACTCTGTATCACACAGTGGCCAGAAATACTAGGTGCCATCAGGAGGTCCACCAGTGGGGCCAGGACATTAGGAGCCATCCCACTGTTGCCCCCCCCCAAGCACCAAGATGACAGAGCATCACTTGCCCCAGAGCCCCTATGTATACCTTGTGGCTAATAGCCACTGATGGACCTCTGCTCCAAATTACTTGAGCCCACCGCATGCAAGACATGCAAGGCCACCTTGACTGCCACTGCCACTTGCTGTTACCTTTCAAAAGCTGCTTGATGAGGGTGGAGTGGGGCCACTTCTCAGAGCCTTGTGCTAAGGCGTTGGCAATGCGGGTAAGGTGCCCCATGTAGCCCATCCGTCTGCCCCCATCTGACCTGCAGTTGAAAACATGGGAACTGTGGAAACATTCCAAAGAAGAACTATACGACTACTGGGGGGGGGGGACGGAAGAGAGAGGAGTGAAGTGTAGTAGTTATATCTGCGAACCAGGAACGGGGAAAACCAGACTCAAATCCACACTCAGCCATGAGCTGCTGTGAGAATAAAATGGAAGAGGGAAGCAAGTGTGACATCTTGATTAATTTGGGCAGAGTGTAAGACAAAGCAGATAAACGTGACTGGGTTTTGCACCAGGTGGCTTGAAGCTAGGACACCTGTTCAAGAGTTTGAGAACGTGATTCTCTGGACTGTTCCACATGGCTCTTCTGCTTTGCCGTGGTTTCCTTACAGCAACATTGTTTTGACAAACATTCACACGTCCTATTTCTGTGTTTTTCCTTGCTTTGCGCAACAACTTTCCCCAAACCGGATTTGAGACTTATCTTTTTGGAAAACTTGCAATTAAAGCACCTCTGGAAGCTGTGTGGATAGGAAATGTGCATATTTTTTTTCTGATCAAGCCCACACTGGCGCCATTTTCCTCCCACACCAGAAGGCTTTGAAAAGTATCAGTAGTTGCTATATCTCCGTAGCATTATAACAGTACAACAATCTATTGCAACAGGTTTCAGTTCTGGCCCTTCTGCTTGTGGAGTTATAAAGAAAAATGTGCAGCCAATACCTTTCCCGTTATAACTCTGCAACCAGAAGGTCTAGAGGTTTTCTTTAAAAATTAAAGCTGCACATTAGTATGTTGTTATCTCTGTTTCCCAATGGAAGTGCAAATGGCATTTTTCTTTGTAGAAGGAGGTCAAGGGGAGTTCCAATCATGGCAACCCAACATTCCTCAGCAAGCACTCACTGTGACTGCTCATTTTCTTCCCAGGCAGACAAAATTCTTTGGATTAAGCGACACTTCTGCAGCAACTACAGCAAAGAGACAATGGAGCTCATGTGAGGATTGCCCCCTGACTGACAACATCTGTGTCACAATAAAAGGACTTCAATTGCTCAGATCCCCAAGAGTTTCAATACTTCTAGCCTTTGGCTGTCAGTGGATGCATTGGGGGTATCTATTCAAATGCAGAACAGGGAGGGAACCTAGACAGAAGATTCAAGAGTTCCACTCCTTATCCTCTAGCTCCCCATCACTGTTGATGTAAACCACCTTGAGTTTTATTTCTAAACTGGGAGGTGAGATGAGAGTTTACTATGAAAGAGATTTCTATCCAGACTGCAAACCCCCACCCCTTTCTAGAGTGGTTTCCAGATTAATAACTTGTCAACTTGAGCCCAGCTATCCAGTCCCCTCCACTGCCACCACTTAACTCCAAGGCCTCCTTTCCCAGCCTACTCCATTTCTTACAGCAACAACCAGCTATCCAGTCCCCTCCACTGCCACCACTTAACTCCAAGGCCTCCTTTCCCAGCCTACTCCATTTCTTTGACCCTCCCTTCACTTCCCCCCTCTCTGTCTCTCTCAAGTTCCATATAAATTTCACTTGTCCAAAAGCAAACAAGGATCTATTCCTCCTCTACAGGCCACCTCACCCATATGAAAAGAGCATGAAACAACACACACATACACCAACTTACATGCTGGATGACGGGGTTCTCTGGCAGGGGCTTCGAGTGGTTTTCAATAGTCTCCTCCCCAGCAGGGGAGCTGAAAACATTGCTAAGGCAGGCCTCCACCTGAGCGTGCAAGAAGTTGTTGTATGTGTATTTGAAGTAGAGGTCCTGGCAACAAAAGCCAAAGGTAAGCATAGCCAATTCATGATGATCTAGGCCCTATACCCTACTCCTAGCAGTGCCATGAAACAGAGACACGCCAAGGGTAACTCTTAACACCCAGCCCCAAATAGTGTTGTGGCTTCTCCACCAATGTGGCTCTTGCATCTGGCAGGACTGTTTCAGGACAGGTCTTACGCAGAGACCAATTTTGCAAGCTTGCCGACTGCACTCGAACAACCTCATTTGGAGAAGCAAGCCATCATTATTTGGCAAACCATTTCCTGTTTCTTCGTGCCAGACTTCACCCATAAAAAGTAGTCACTTTTCAACATTATTTGTACACCAGTTGTATGATATAATAGAAATAAATAAAAATGCAATGAACTTAAAGCCTGATGACAATGATAGCAAGGATGAATGTAACCAAGAAAAAGCTGATGTAGCTCATACCTAGTTTTAGGAACTGTTCCTGACAATGACTAACAGGTAAATACTGAACAGAACATAGCTCTCCACAAATGTCTCTCCACCCCCCACGTCTCTCCCAAAACAATTCAAGTAGGCCTTCCAAACTTCCAGAAAAGAAACATTTGCGATGGAGTGCCTCCTTAGGAGCACACAAGCAATTCTCTTTTGGATCAGGGAGTGGCCCTGAAGGGAGCACTGGCAGGTGCACGGATTATACTCACCAACATTGTGTTGACAGCCCCGAGTTCTATAATCTCATCCCGCAGCGCCGCATTGTCGGTGCCCAGCGAGCTGGCCAGCAGCTTCACCACGTGTAGGCGTGTGTTTCCCAGTGGCGGGTCTAGGATCCCCCAAGTTGTCTGAAGAGGCTCTTTCTGCCAGGAAGAGTGGGGTGCAGAATCTAAGTTCCACAGGCATGCAGTCCCACTCCTGATCGATGGAGAGCGTGTTCCAGCTCACAGGCTGCCCCCCCCCCCCCCCGGAGAACTCATCTACTCTTCTAGCAAACCTCCCTCTCTGGCACAGCCCAGTTACTCTGCCTCTCAGCTCATCAATTTCTAGCCCAGCCTTCTGAGAGAGAGAGAGAATCTATCTTGAGAGGATAAGCTTTTAAAGCCTCATTCCTTCCCTGGGGATGTACCATGATCAGACACTACACTTCTCATTTCTTTTTGTGGATAGTGCCTTGCATATGTTTTTCTGACACTGGGACAACTGAACAAATTGTCAGATTCTGAGTTGGCTGTTTTCAAAAAGACTCAAACCCTTGAAAAGAAAAATCTCTTGTCTGCTTATGGCACACTACATTTAGGATTATCTTCCCCGACGATGCGTGGAGGATCCCACTGAGGGGGGGGGGGGAGAATGAGGATGCTCACCTCTTCCCAGCCTTCTAGGGCTCTCAAAGTCCCATTAATGCAGTCTGCTACGCTCCTCCCACCTTTCCGCTCTTCATCTGAGCAAGACAACATACACACACACACGTGCGCATACCCACCTTTGGTGGGTCGAGGAGCAGCTGGTGAAGCTCCCTGAGGCGCTGTTTGATGGCAAGCAGAGTGCCCAGACTGGCCTGGCTGGAAGCCACTTCACAGTTAGGCCCGGTTATCTCCATCTGCCCCTCCAGGTTGCAGTAAAAGCCCCCCATGCCCCCCAGCTCCGTCCTGGAAGGGAGAGCAAGACCAACCACCGCTTTTCAATACAAGGACCTGCGGCTGCATGCACCTCCCCCCCCCATCTCAAGTCCACCCTAGAGAGAAACTTAAATCCTTATAATAAATTATGCGGCTCGTGTTCATCAAGTCAGGTGTATGCCGCATGATGCTTTTGAACGCAAGCCAGCTCATGTGGCAGAACTAATTTCGCTTCCTGGACATATGCGGCACCAGGGGGAAAACGTGAACACTTTTGATAACGAATAGTAATAAAGAGTAATATAATTATACAGTTTTGTTAAAACCAGTACAATTTCTTAAATGACAAAAAAAAAAAGGATGGAAAGGCAGAAGGTCTCACAACAAAGAAGACCATTACAGAGGAGTACCCTGCACGATGGGTTTAGCACATCTGCATCAATATGCACATGGTTTGCACTGGGATTACTGTCAACAGTTCACCTCTCTCACTCGCTTTTTTGTAAAGCATCTCTAAAGTGATTTCATCCCAGCCCTGACCTGGATAGCCCAGGCAAGCCTGATCTCATCGGATCTCAGAAGCTAAGCAGGGCAGACCCTGGCAAGTACTTGGAAGGGAGACCCCTCCAGAGAATACCAGAGCTGTGATGCCAGAGGCAGGTGATCCAGCTACTTCTCCAAATGTCCTCCGTGCCCGGTAGGAGTCACCAGAGGTCGCCATGACTTCCAGGCACGGGTGTGTGCACACACACACAATGCAAACATACCCTCCCAAAAAAGTGATTTTGTCCCTTAAAAATCTTTGCTTGCCATTTTTCCACATTCTGATTGTTCTAGCACTCCACCCACTCCTCTAATATACCTTAAATTTTAAGTTTATTAAAGAGCCACTTTTTTTTTAATGTGGAAGGTCGGTAGTTCAGCCGTTCGAGCCCCGAGTGTGCCGCATGACGGAGTGAGCTCCCGTCTCTGGCCCCAGCTTCTGCCAACCTAGGAGTTTGAAAGCAAGAAATTGCAAGTAGATAAATAGGTACCACTTCAGTGGGAAGGGAACAGCGTTCCGTGCGCCTTGGTGTTTAGTCATGCCGGCTACATGACCACGGAAACGTCTTCGGACAGCGCTGGCTCTTCGGCTTGGATACGGAGATGAGCACCGCAACCCTAGAGTCGGATTTGACTGGCTTTCGAGCAAGGGAACCTTTACCTTTACCTTTAAGCCACAGGTTGCAAACTCCTGCTCTAGTTCACATACTTGGGATTCAAAAGTGTGCCTGGATGACTCATTTGCATGGATTCTCTCCAAAATGGTTTACTAGAAATTGAACCACAGGCAAGAAATACAGAGAGGAGGGAACAAGAGACTGGACTATCTGAGGGCTGGTGAGGACGTGGCAACTCTGCTGCCACCACTACCACCACCCCCCACAACCCCCCAAGTCTTCCCAAAGACCTCCAGAAATAAGAGACACTATTGGGGTTGCTTTAAGAACTGTGGCCTGGAAAAATCAGACCACTCCCCTCACCCAAATGACTCCCTTTGCCCTGGTGACCACCGAAACCCACTGCTGTGGTTGCTCGACCACCGAATGGGGAGAGGGCAGCTGAATTGCTGGGGCTCACTACTGCCTTAAAGAGACAGCAGTTGTAGGAACCACTGAACCACCAGAGGGGTGAGGGCAAGGATTTTAGGGCAGCTTTGCCTCCCTCACCCCATCTCATTCCTCTACTAGTGCTGCAAAGCGAAACAGCTCAAGCTCACAGCAGCCCTGTTTTTATTTTGCCTTTATAAAAGGCAATTCTTTTGTTTCCAATTGTTTTTTTTACCTTCGTAAGCTGCCTTGGCAACAGACATGAGTCAAAGAAATAAGCAACACACCTATACCACCATAAGCTTCTAGATGCTGCATAAGTCATCCCCATGTAAACAGCAAAAGCCCCCACCTGCTGCCATACACACACACACACACACACACACACACACACACACCTGGGTCTGCGCGGCTCCAGCAGGGTCAGCAAGACCTGGATGCCATTGACAATGACGGATTCACTCCGTTCTCCATCCAGCATATTGCTTAGCAGCTGCTCAATCGTCTCCTGCCTGGACACAAGGGAGAATTGGTGCCGGTTAGGAAACACTTGGAGTCAAGCTGTGTTTGTTCCCCTTATGGCTAGTTTTGTTAAATTTTAAAAAGCTTAGAATATTCTGAAGACTTGGGTCGGGGGAAACAATTTACTTTTGCCCCTTGCTCCACCTTGCCTTTACACTGCAGGACAAACCATTACATGTAAAGAAGAAGCTGCTGCCGGGGATTACCCAGAGAGACTGTGGAAGTCCTGAGAAGCTCTTAAGAGGCTGTACCATCTGAGAGCCAGTAAGATACCCTGGTGTTAAGAGTCAGATCTATGCCAGAGGGAAGAACCTTCTAGCTTTGGACATGGCTTATAGCAACTCAGAACCAAGTGAGCAAACACCAGATAGTAAGAGGAAGTCGGGGCAGTTTTACAGAACAAGAGGTGAATTTTGATTTAAGGATCTTGTTGATTAAAGTAATGGATATTTAATGTGTTAAAAATCCACAGAGGGTACAAATTAAACTATTACCTCCTTCTTGACTGAAAACACTGCCAGAAATATAAAAAAGAGAAGGCTTGAATTCATTTTGGCATCAGACAGGTAACTCTCCTTTTAGGGGGTGCCTTTTTCCCCCTGGCTGCTGGCACTGCCAACAGTTTGGCACTCACTTCTCGAGCGTGGCCAATAATTGGTCCGGCTCGGGACTATCCTGGATTTGGATCATCTGCTCGCGGCTCAGCCGGATGATGTCACACAGGGACTGCGAAGCGTTGGAATGTTGCTGCATAAAGCACAAGAGAAAACAAGAGAAAAGGCCATTATTAAGCCCCTCACAAGCAGCTGCACTTTGACAGATAAGGTATCCAATCCATCTTTAAGCATGTTACACCCTGAGAATTTCATTTTTTTTCCTCTCTTCAGGCCTACACTTAAAAACTGGAGATTGTTCCTCTAATATTTAGTCCTGAATTATCTTCTGCTGCCTTACATCCATGGAAACATGCACAGTAGTTTGGATTGTGTACCATTATCCTCTGAGCGAAACTGAGTGGGGGAGAGGGAGGACACGGGTATAGCTAAGGGCTACGTTGAATCCAGCCAGCTTTTCTGCTCAGTTTAACTCCACTCCTTATTACAGTCTCCATTCCCTATGGCCTCTACTGCTTGCAGGTTGCATGATTTCCAGCACTGTCTTTTAGTTGGGTCAAAGGGGACCCCTGCCTCCCCTTTTCACCAGTGGAAAAATGGGTTGGATCTAACCCTAAGAGTCTGCAGTACCTTCATATTTTACTTCCCTTTAGCTCTTTGGCAGAAACCAGATAACATAACAAGTTTAAAGCAGTTTGTGGAGACGTTCAAAACTGGACCTTCATCAACATATTTAACGGAAAAGGGTTATTTTAACCTTTTCCAGGATATGACTGCTCCTGCATCCTCCACAACTACTGTTAACTATTTACACCTTGCTATAATTATCTTAAGTATTCCAAAAATCCCCAAATACCAAGGCTAGAATGAAGAATGCAACATGAACAAGACTGTATAGGTTTCATGAACTTGCATATTTCTGGCTTCTTGCAGATCTATTCGTTCAAGAGATCTCAGGTCCCATGGTCAAAAGTGGCAGCCAACAAGACAATAAGAGTGCAGTCCTAAGCAAGCTATTAAACTCAGTGGGACATATCTGAATACATATGTGTATAAAGTACACAAAGACCAGCTGATTAATTCCACTACAGCCAGCCTAGCACTTTTTTTATTCTCTGTTATAGAGCCTGTATACTGAGATTGCTGAAATTCCAAGGCCTGCAGGTTAAAAAAGTCAAACTGGACATGAAATCTGAAAATCCATTCACAGAACTGCAGTGTGTGTGTTTGTTTAATTTCTAAACAGCAGCTGTGGGGACTGGGGAATTTGGATCAGTTTGTAACAAAGGTGGGGAGTTTAAGATTTATCCCCCACCTTTCACTATCCGAAGGAGTCTCAGAGTGGCTTACAATCCCTTTCCCTCCCCCTCCCCACAACAGACACCCTGTGAGGTAGGTGGGGCTGAGAGAGCTCTCTTAAGAACTGCCCTTGAGAGAACAGCTCTGAAAGAACTTGTGACTGACCCAAGGTCACACCAGCAGCTGCATGTGGAGGAGTGGGAATCAAACCCGGTTCTCCCAGATTAGAGTCCGCGCTCTTAACCACTACATCAAACTGGCTCTTTCTTCCCCCCTTCATCCAACTCCCAGAGTTGTAACCACTACATCAAACTGGCTCTTCCTTCCCACACACTTCCCTCCTTCATCCAACTCCCAGAGTTACCATTTTCTTCTGTGGGGAAAATCTGAGCAGCAGGTCAAATAACCAGCTCCAAAGGTCATGTAGGTTCAGAGAAAGCACCCCCCCTAGCCCCTGAGGTTACTGCTAGGCAGTAAAACAAAACAAAGTAGTGATTCAGTCAACTGCATCCCATATGGTTTAAACCAAACCCTGAGGATGGAAGAGAAGCAGGGTACATTTACAACTTACATTGTCATCCTTTGAAGGGTGGATCATCCCAATAAGCCTCTGGACAATCTTCTCCTCATTAAGCCACTTGAATGAAAAAAAGACAAGCAAGCACCAACGGATGGTGAGATTCAGCAAGTACCCTCTGAGACAGTCCTCCAGTGATACCCGCTCAAGGACAGGAATATTCACACCCACTCTAACAACAAACCACAATTTTGATTCTAAGGTCCCACCAATACCCTTGAAATCCTATTTGTACATATACCAGGAAATAGGGATGGGCATGAACTGGAGAAATGCAGTTCATGGCTGAACGACAAACCAAACCGTGAACAGAATAGACCCAGGAGGTTCGTGGCCCTGTAAACCTTGTTGAAATGGTCCACAGTCCCTTTAAATGGTGTTTGCAGACAGTCCAAAAAACAGCTGAGTGGTATAGGGTGCCTGCTGCCCACTGCTCAGCTGTTTTTCTGGCTGTCTTGTACACTCCCTTTAAACTTTAAAGGGACTACATAAAACACCCCAAAACAGCGTGTCTTGTACACTCCCTTTAAACTTTAAAGTGACTACATAAAACACCCCAAAACAGCACTGCTCCCCAGCACTCACCTGCTTTTGCAGTTTTTGCTGGGAACAGAAAGCAGGGGTTTAAGGGGACTCAGAGTCCTTTTAAACCCCTGCCTTCCGCTCTATCCACAAACCGCCATGAATCACCATGAACTGCTTTAAAAATTTGTGGAAATTCATCACAGCAGACCTATCAGGAACTTCAGTTCATGAACCATGAACAAGGCAAAATTTGTGATGAATTTTGCTTCATGGTTCGGTTCATGTCCATCCCTACTATGCAAGTCCTAATAATGAACAGCTACCGGGGTAGGGAAGCATCCCAAAATGAGTATACAGCAAGAGACAAACTTTCTAGCAAACAGTGTATACAACTATTCTTTCTCAAGAGCTGTGGGACATGCTGCAACACCCCCCCCCCAAATACTACGTTTGTAAGTAAATACACTTGGCATAAGCCTCTGTGAAGAGAGGAGGTAGCAGGTTTATGCACCAAAAGTACCCTGATATATCCCCTCACGCATAATTCCCAGAAGCATGAGACCTGAAGCTGTACGGTGTTTAGTAAGTCAGCAGGAGGGCCAGCTCGAAAGGAGTGGGGGGCCTCCTACTTCCCGGAAGCTTTGAGAGACTCCTGTTTGCAAGCCACCATCAGTCATAAAGGGAGCTTGGTCTTCATTGGTCACTTGAAGTTGGAAGCTCTTTCAGCTCTATGCTACTGCCAATCACCTGGGTTGTCCAGATAATAACTGATATTCTCCAGATAAACCCATGCAACCACTGATCTTCCTCCGATCACTCAAGCAGAAGTGGCACATACACAATGAAAAGGTTACAGATCGAGTGACTGGTAGCTTATGGCAGCAGTCTCGGGTAGTCGTGACCCCAGACCACTGAGCACAAAACACGAAACCATGTTGCCTGGTCTTTGGAGGAAGTGGGAAGAGTGAGAAAGATGGGAGTGCCTGCAGCAGGACCCTTACATTGAACACATCTTGCCTGAGCTGTGGCTGCTCTACACAGGTGAGAAGCCGCAACAGGAGGTCCATGATGGCCGAGGTACCAATGTGGCACAGCAGCAGGTTGACGAAGTCGTCCTTCTTGCGCAGGAAGGCAACTATCTAGAAGACAGTCATGCGAGTTAGTGGAGGAAGAGGAACAAGGAGGACAGGAAAGACGGAGCATATCCAGAACAGGTGACCCTCTGCATTTCATCAACTACATGAGAAAGAGCTTCAAGACCCACCCCTAGGAGAGTTACTACACATGATATAATGCAGAAGCCTTGCTGAAGGTAAGCAAGGCCGAGTCTGCTCAGTGCCTAGATGGCAGAATTCCCTGGAACTTCAATCTATGCCACCTTCTCAGATGAGACAGAAATGTAATTTGTTAGCCACCTTGAGGGTGTGGAGATGAGGTGGGACATCATTACTTAAACTGATGTCGGCAACTGGTTTTTGAGAACCTCTGATTAAAGTAAAGGCAGAACTGTACAGCCATGTTTTCACATTCATTCTTCCTGTATTGCAAAGACTTTGGCCTGGATCCTATGGATGAGTTCCACGCGCACTACACAGCCTTTGCCAAAGAGTGCATTCCCACTGGCACTTCCATTTGCACACCATCAACGGTTTTCAATAAGCTCTTGTGCAAAAGGTAGTGCTAGCTGATGAGGAAGTATGTGCTGCTGAATAGGCAGTCTAGTATGTATGAAATTCCCGCACAGGTTACAGGCCTAAAAAATTGCTTGCTACGAACCACAAAGATCAGTGGATCACCTTGGGCTCCATTTTTCAGCCTAAACTACCCTCACTAGGCTGAGAAATCAAAACAAGGAAAAGAAAGAGGTGGGAAGAGGCTGAAATACTTGTAGGAAGGGCAGGATAAACACATCATGGCATTAAATTACCTCATTAACTTCACATGGTTAAATATTACTTTTGAATGCACCCTGGCAGAGCAACAGCTGGTATTTAGCACACCTGGAAAAATGCTTAGGAGTCTACAGACTCCCTAAAAGCACTCAGTACCAACTGTTGCCACCTGAGGGTGCACTTGAAAGAAACACCCACCATTATGAGCTTAGTTTCCCAGGATTCTGCAGACTGCAACACAGTCCAAGGTGCTGGCCTTAGGGATGACTACAGGCATTAATGGGTATACAAGGAAGCAAGCAGCACAGCTCAGGATGGGGGAAAGGTCCTGGCAGGTCAAAGAGCATGTGAGACGCTACCTGATCAGTCTTGCGGTTGATCAGGATCCCCATGACCTTGCTAAAGAAACTGGCCAGTAGCGGATTGAGAATGCTGCCAGTCTGGAGGAAGCTGTAGAGGCGACGCAAGAGGGATTCGTCCTCACCCAAAGCGTCGTTTATTTGAGTGACGTCCGACGTCAGAATTTCACATGATACACTTGGGTACCTGGAGGTGATGTGGGAAGAAAGGGTAGGGTTGGAGATTTTAAGGCTGCATAATCCTGCTGCGTGAATATCTCAGCCATGCTCTTCTTCTTGACTGTTCTACAACTCACTCAACTCTGACACTTTTGTGCTGCTCTCCTGGCTTGCAGGTTACAGAGTTTCCAGCACTGAGATGCATGGCATCAGGTAACATACAGCTATATGATCTCTGCTCTGATTTTCAAAGAGGCTCCGCATCAAGGTAAACTGCGGTCCAGATCTGCCAGTTTTAAACAATTTTTTGCCCCCCATGATCAGCAGACGTGGAAGAAGACACATCAGTATCCACTGACAACTGGGAAGTCTGCTCTTTGGCGTCTGAAATTTCCACATGCATTACCTGCCCATTGCCAAGCCCATCTTCCTAACCATACAAATGTATGTGAAACCGTTAAAAGTACCTGAGTGAAGAGTTCTGCACCCATAATCAGGATGGTGGTTAAACACAAGCTACGGAAAACAGCCTCGGTCTCACATCAACTGTCTATCTACCCACACTGCTGTCAAAAAAGCTTTTTGTGCTGCTCTCCTGGCTTGCAGGTTATACAGAGTTTCCAGCACTGAGATGCATAGCATCAGGTAACATACAGCTATATGTTCTCTGCTCTGATTTTCAAAGAAGCTCCGCATCAAGGTAAACTGCGGTCCAGATCTGCCAGTTTTAAACAATTTTTTGCCCCCCGTGATCAGAAGTGGAAGAAGACACATCAGTATCCACTGACAACTGGGAAGTCTGCTCTTTGGCGTCTGAAATTTCCACATGCATTACCTGCCCATTGCCAAGCCCATCTTCCTAACCATACAAATGTATGTGAAACCGTTAAAAGTACCTGAGTGAAGAGTTCTGCACCCATAATCAGGATGGTGGTTAAACACAAGCTACGGAAAACAGCCTTGGTCTCACATCAACTGTCTATCTACCCACACTGCTGTCAAAAAAGCTGATCCACTGCCCTGACCTGGATAGCCCATACAAGCCCGATCTCGTCAGATTTCAAAAGCTAAGCAGGGTCGACTGTGATTAGTACTTGGATGGGAGACTTCCTTGAAATACCAAGTTGGGAGGACAGAGGCAGGCTTTATTCAGCCACCTCTCTGAATATCCTCCAGGCCCCCAGTAGGGGTCAGACACCAGGGGTCAATGTGACTTCCAGGTGCAGACACACACGCGCACACAAATACCCCCCCCAAAAAAATCAAATCCTGATTCAATGCAGTGGGCAATGACCCTCACACTCTCTTAAAAAGATCCCTTTCCTAGCACCAGCCCATTTCACACACTCAGTACAGCCCTCCTCCCCCATTCCCACACCACCACACAGGCAATACCTGCACCTCCCTAGGAAACCTTTGCTCAGCTTAACGACTCAGCAGTGACCTCCGGATTGGCAACCCCAACCTTGCACTTTTTATTATTACCAAGCCTTTGGGTTCTTTCCTCCAAAACTGTCAGCTGCTAACTAAACGCCAGAAATGCAGCTCCCAACAGTTGCTTCATCACGATTTCTGACATTAAGAAATGAAGATGCTAGGATTCTCCTTTGCCGGGGTGTGTGCGTGTCAGTGGTAGACCAACTCAACAGTACATAGGACTCCAGTGCAACTTCCAAGACTTATGCAGACTTACCCCTATTAACCTACATGTTGCCTCCTGACAAGCTTCATATAAAAACGATTTCCAGCCAGGGGGTGAATTCCATACTTTGGAGATGTGCCAAAGGAAGAGAGAGTGCTCCTTTCAGAAGCTGTGAGAATACCTTCATAGTTTTCTGGGCTTTGGTAATCTCAGTTAATGTTAAGAAGAGCTAGACAAGTTAATGTTAATTGACTGACTACACTGATATTTCACAGATGTGTAAATGTTTCAACCACCCTTTATTGATTCTGATATTTGAACTAAGCTGGCTGGTTTTTAAAGTTTTGAGGACAACCTTCTCCCTGTATTTTTATATGTATCGTAAGCCACACGTTTTGATCATATGTAGGCAGGCAGCCCCTGTTGGCTAAGTGGCTACTTGGCTTTTGAACAACGATGCTCAATGTCGTGTATCCAGAACACAGTCTAACAAAACAAAGGCCAACAGGTAAAACCAATAAAAAATCCAAAACTCAACAAAAATATTTTTAAAGCACCATTTCTTCCCATATAGTTCTGCTTGGGCACTGTGCTCATCACCACAGACCTTTATTCATGTTGCCTTAGCTTCAGAGAGGAGATGTGTGCCCAAGACAAACAGGGCCTTTATCAATGGTGCACTTCGAGCTTTAGAAAGCCCTCCCCTTCTTCTTGCACCTGATACCTCTCTTGATATTTTTTTGCTGCCAAGCAAAGATTTTCTTTCTCAGAAGGATTTCAGTTTTTGCACTGAATTTTGTCTGCAACCTAATATTTTAGAATGATTTGTTTAGCCTAGCTTTATTTTTGTTTATTGGTGCTGGTTGCTTTTATTTGTTACTGGTTTTTATATTTGTTGACTGTACACTGCCTTGTGAATGACATATTGGAGAAGCAGAATCCATTGAAGTCCCCTCTCCAAGGCACTGCAAAGCAACAGTGCTTTTGTCCACATACAGAACAACACTGGTGAGAGGACCAAAAGAAACTACTCTTAGAAAGGTGTTCCAGAGCTCCAGCTGACAGGCCCTGCTCTTTAGAAATGCAAATCTGGCATCCAAACCAAATGATGTTAGAAGGAAAGCCTCAGCCACAGCTATTAAGCCTCAGAGAGCCTGTGTGGTATGGTGGTTAGAGTGTCTGCTAAGAACAAGGAGTCATGAGTTCAAACCCCCACTCAGTTGCAAAGACCATCTTGAGTCACCCAAATTTCTATCAGCCCAAACTACCTCACTGGGTGTCTGTGAGGATAAAATGGAGGGAGGGAAAAACCATGTAAAATGCTCTGAGCTCCTTTAAGAAAGAGCAGGGTACGGGATGAGGCACTGTTTTAATTAAGATACTATCTCATCATTTTCCAGCAAATGGATTTTTTTAAAAAAAATAACCAAATGATTTGCACCCCATCTTGCAACATAAAAGCCCTGCAGTATGGAAAGAGCACAGGCAGCTAAAACACAGGAGGAGCAGGAGAGGGCAAGGGGAACCTGCCAACACTGCTCCTTAACCTTGGAGGAGCTGAAGGACAGGAGCTCCATCTATATCCAGAGTGAGAAACTTATTACTCGTGAACAGCCCCCTGCTGCTTCTCTCCTCCAGGTGCTCTACCACCAAGATCCTCCACTTACTTGTAGCGCACTCTCTCATCCACATCTCCGGGGGGCTCCTCAGTCACACAGGTGACCAGGGCCTCCATGTGCTCGGGCTGCACCAGGAAGTCCACCAGCTTTCGATTGACCACCTTGCACTCCTGCAGCACATCCTCTTCATCCAGAAGCTCAAAGAGGGTCACGTTGCCACGTTCCAAGAGGGTGTCGATATGAGAGGTCGTGTGGAGGTCAAACTTCCAGAACATGGCTTGCTGTGGAAGGTGGGAGAAGGACAGAGAGGGACATCAAAAAAAAAGGAAGGCGAGGTGAACCCATGGGCTAGTGACCCTCACTCCTGTAACTGTCCCCTTCTTGATTCAGAAGAGCCCCAAGCACAGGAGCCAGGGCCAAGCACAGGCTGCTCCAGCTCAATAACTAAATGGGATGGAGGATCTAATGGAAGAGGCAACCTGCATCCGGTTGGGAATAGCCCCAGACTGAGGGGACAGGACGTTTGATGAGAAATCAGAGGATAGTGCGGTGGGCTGGTGTGGAACCCTCCCATCATGGGCGCTGCTTGAGAGGTGGCACAAAGGGCAGTAACTGCCACAGCAGGTGAATTTGGAGGTGAGAGCAGGTTCCAGATTATACAATTTAAAAATTCAGGCCAAGAAAACGGAGTGTGGTAATAAGCCACGGTTATGAGAAGAGGACAACAAAAAAAGGCCAAGATCAAAAGGCAGACAAGCGAACCAACAGGTTTCACAGACGTCACGAGAATGCAAGCCCAGTAGGGGCACGGCAGTGGAAAAAAACTCCAGCAGGAGCCAGAGCAAAGCCGAGATGGGTAAATACAAAGTGGTGAAGAAATAACAGGCATAGAGGGACCTTTAATCCAAGGTGGAGGGGGAGGGGTAACTAGGGTGCTGAAAATGGTGTGTGTGGGTGTGTGCGTGTGTGAGAGAGAGAGAGAATGAGAACATGCACAATTCACCCGAGAACACGCACAATTCAACCAACCTTGCACACAATGTATTTAAGACATTTCTAGCCTGCCTTTCTCCAACAAAGGACCCAAAGCAAGCGTAAGAATCTTCATGTGTCTGGGTCCTTTTAGAACTGCATCCAAGTCCCTAAGTGCTGGATAATATGCTTTAACCCCAGCAACCAAAACAGAAGTCTTTTGGCACTTCAAATACATGACACAAGCTTTCCTGGAATTCGTCAGATGCATGAAATGCATCTGTACTCTCAATAGACAAATGTATAATGGCCACTGAAAAAGACAAAAAAGGTACAAGGAGAGGGGTCAAAAGCCCCCCAAAACACAAGCAGTGCAGCTTGTGGTGTTTCCAGGCGAAGTTCAAATGCATATGAGGTAAGCACAGAGACCATTTACAACAGCACTAAGAGGCAATAATGCTATTTCCCTAGCCCTTTTCCCATACTTATGTAACATCTTCCATGAGGGGGGAACCACTGTCCCAAACTGCTCGAATCAAACTTTTGATACCTTTTGGCTTCAGCCTAAGAGTGTGTGTGTGCATCTCTCGCTCTTTTTGAACTCCTCTCCCCTCCAAATGTATACTATCTTCCAGCAGTCCCAACAAAACAATTATCTAATCGACAAGTGGCCATGCAGTGATGCTGCGTGCAAAAATCTGCATACTGGGGTAGTAACCCTACAATTGGCATTAGAAAATAAAACCCAAGCAGAATCTCTTACTCCCTTCTGATGCCACAAAGAGCCAATTTGGTGCAGTGGTTAAGAGCGGCAGGACTCTCATCTGGAGAACCAGGTTCGATTCTCCACTCCTCCATATATAGCCAGCTGGGTGACCTTGGGTCAGTCACCATTCTCTCAGCCCAAAAAACAAACCTAGTTTACCACAAAAAAGCTGGAGTTTCAGGCTGCCAGACAATCTTTGGATCTCCTGCCTATACGACACCCAGTGCCATATGATAATTAATTTTCTGCCGCCACAGTGGGAAAAAACGCAATAATAAAATGCCTATTCTCCACACAGTCCCTTCTTCCCAAATCCCACTGAGAGGGAAGGCAGGAGGAGAGCAATTGTCACCCCAAATCCAATGTAACTCCATGAGGATCTTCTGCAACCCTCCCATGCCCCGACTGACAGCGGAGGAAAGACCCACCTGATGCATGATCCTATTCTTCCCTGTAAACTTGGCCTCACTCCATTCCAGGTGCCTTACATGCTTCCAGGAGGGCCCATCCCATGGGCTGAGAATGCCTACGACTCATTCAGATTAGGAGTATTTTTTTAAAAAAATAGAAGACTCAACTCCTCATACACATGTACACCCCCCCACTATCAATGCACGTTTATGGCTGAAATAGGGACATTAACCCACATTAGTACCTACAGTACCAAGAGGGGTCATCATTGTGGATTGAGCAACACAGGAACCGGCAGTATGATTTCGCATGTGGCACGGGCTTCTCTTCTTCCTTGCCCTCTGAGAGACTCGGGCCAGGAAGGCGGTTCCTTGTGGCTGCATGTTTGCAGTCTCCCTAACTACAGCTGCAGTTCACAGTGGCAGAGAACTCTCCGTACCACCAGATGGAGGGGGAAAAACTGAGAGAAACAAATAGTAACGTGGCGACGCCTCATTTCCCTTTTCAACCCTGCTGCCGCTGCCGCCACGGTGAAGGCCAAAACTTTTCACCCGGTTTCCAGGCAACCTCTAGAATCACAAGACTTTTGCAATACATCAGAGCTGACTGCTTGGCTTGGAGAAGCTGGGCTCACGTCAGCTCACAGAAACTGGAGAGGGGAGCGGGGGACAGTAATCGAGGACTTCGCAAAGTTCAGACCTTAAAGCTTACAATAAATTAAAAACACTAGAACTTGCAAACTTTTCCACCATCCCTTTTTAACACTGCAAATTGCTTTACAATGCTTGAACTCATTTATTCACACAACAACCCTGTGAGTTGGGTCTTTACCTAACCTGGTAAACGTCATGGCCAAAAGGGCACTTGTACCCCTGTAGTCAAAGCCACTGCTCTGAATTGGATTCCAGTCACACAGGGCTGCCTGTGACTTCAGATAGTCCCAGCTTTATCTTGAATAAAACAGCATGTTTCTAGGGGGAAGCTGTCACTGTCTTACCCTGTTTGTGGGCTTACGAACAAGACCAGACAAGGTGGGTGGTTTAGTGATTCCGTGGATAAAGGTTGTTCTACTCTATCACACGGCTGATGAGTGTCTCCCAAGGTTGAGGAAAGGATCAGGCACTGCTTTCAGATATTTCCAAGGGTCTAAGGAATACATGAATGCTCTCTTTCCACTTTCTGGCACTCAGAGTACAAAATGCCAAATGCAAAGCAGCCCTCAAAATTCTCTAGTTGGCCGCTCACTGCCCCAGTTGTCAACAGTGACAGTGGCTAGGGTTATGACAGGCACATGCGGATCACAGCCACATGTTTTAAGCATCTGAATGTGTTCAGGCTGTTTACAGCAGAAATTAAGAACAGGACAAAGATTTCAGATTCTCAGCAACCAGCAGTCAGATCTCTTTTATCAGTTCATAGAATCACAGAGTTGGAAGGGGCCATACAAGCCATCTAGTCCAACCCCCTGCTCAATGCAGGATCAGCGTAGAGCATCCCTGACAAGTTTGGTGTAGTGGTTAAGTGTGCGGACTCTAATCTGGGAGAACCAGGTTTGATTCCCCACTCCTTCACTTGCAGCTGCTGGATGACCTTGTGCAAGCCATAGTTCTGTCAGAGCTGTTCTCTCAAGAACAGTTCTCTCAGCACTCTCTCAGCCCCACATACCTCACAGGGTGTCTGTTGTGGGGAGGGGAAGGGGAAGGAGTTTGTAAGCTGCTCTGAGACGCCGATTGAAGGGCGGGGTATAAATCCAATATCTCCTTCTCCAGCTGCTGCTTAAAGGCTACCAGTGAGGGGGAGCTCACCACCTCCCTAGGCAGCTGAATAGAATTCCTAATAATCATCTCAAACTCTCCAACGCCCAGAACTCAGGGTGGCCTACATGTACAGGATCATCTCATGCCACCACCGCCCCACAATGCACTTGTGAGGTAGATTAAGTACTAGCCCCCAAGGTCACCCAGTAAGTTTCGTAAGGTAAGTGGGGGATTCCATACCCAGGTTTCCCTGGTTTGGGGTTAACATCTTAGCCCACTGCCACCACCCTGTCTCTACTATGAACTGAAAAAGATACCTTAATTTTCTAGACTCCAACTCAACTGTTCAGGAGCCCAAACTCCTGTATTTCTGTTATTCTTCACACACTGATGAAAAGTAAGAAACAGCGTTAAACCGTGATCTTCAAAAGCCAGGGATAAGTGGCTCTTCGCTGCAGTGCTACTGTGCAATGCAGAAAGAGTCTTCAATATGAATGCTCGGGGCTTCACCTGAAAGGGAATATACCAATATCTCTAATATAATTATTCCGGGAGGCCCAGTCCAATTCCACTTGCTCAGGGAAGAAGCAAACAAGGAGAAAGTGGACTTTTGGTCAGCTCCTCCACAACCCTTCAATAAGGACTTCCTTGATAACTTTTTTAAATTGAAGAACATCTTTTTTTGGGGGGGAAACTATCTTAATTTTGGAATATCCCCAGTGGTTTGGCAAAAAAACCTCCTTCCGCTGAGCCAAGCCAAGGGAAGAGATTAGAAGCATGTGGAATAATGGAAAGAGAAGAGGGGGAAACCCTGTATGCAATTAAAGTCTTTAGAAACCTCAGAGGAAGAAAAAAAACCTCACGCTTCTTTTGCTACTCCAAGGTGACACAGTGTGATCATATAGCGGACAGACTAGACTACCAGACTAACGTACATGGGTCTAAGTAGGAAAGTTTTGTTATGAAGACTGGACCTATCAAATTTGGCTTGAATCAACAATCCCCCTTTTACCCCACCGTATCTCCAAAGAGATCAGGGTGGTGTATATGGCTCTCCCCCCTCCATTATCTTCTCAGAACAACCGTGCAAGATAGGTTAGGTGGAGAGCGTGACTAGCCCCCGGTCACCTAGAGAGCTTCATGACAAGAGTTAAGGGTTTGAACCCATATCTCACTGTCTTATTCCAATACTTTAAACACAACACTATATTGATCAATCATTTACTATGCTTCCAAATTTACCCTCACCTCTACTAATGCTGTGGGACTACCCACTAATTTTTAAAAGTTCCATCCAACAAAACGACATTGATACCACCAAGATACTTTGTATTCTAGTTTCTTTACGTCTCCAGGATAAATACTGTCATACATA